TTTAAAAATAATTCTTAAAGCATAATCACATAACAGTCCTAGACTTTTCACCACATTCTTACAAATCTTATTTATTTGTTTATTAAATTTCTATAGCTAGCCATCTCAGCCAAATGACTGGGTGGCTTAAAATTCTAAAACCATAACAAAATTAAAAACATCCAAAAAGTGAATACAGCAGCCAAGAAAGTTAACCAACTAACAAGAGAGGCAAGAAATGGCTTTTAACACATTCTGAACTTCAGACTGGGCACATACAGCAGACAACAAATGGTAAAACTGAATAACCTATTTATTTTCCAAATGTTGGTCAACATTTGGAAAATAAATTTTTACCCAGACTCCTTATTTTAAATTACAATAAAATAAATGGCAATTAGAATGATAGAAAATGGTACTTTGAGAATCAAGAATATGGTGGCACTAAAGTTATCTTTCACTGAGAAGAAGCCAGAAGTATAGAATCTAACAGATCTGACCATTTCCACCTTATCTCCAAAGGGCTGAAGTTTTTGCCTAATGACCAACATGCTGTAAAGCAATTATGTCTCTCTTTTTTCTAACAGAGAGAAAGACTGCCACAACCAGAAACTGAAAAGAATGTATAATTTCTTTTAATTTATAATTAATTTAAAAATAATTACCAGAATAATAGTCCACCAGTTCATGCAAGCTTGGGAAGGTAAGGCTGGGGGAAATATAAAGCCAGTTGTTCTCTAAGCAGTTAATGCGGTAGTGTTTTACACAATTCCAGGATTCATGATTTGTGCATCTGATTGATAAAGAGTAGCAACCTGTTTATCAGAAAAAAACAATCTGTAACATTGAGACAGAAAACAAGTCCACCCAATCCTAATGCTAACAATGAAATGTATATGTTTCATTAAATTCTCTTGAAAGCATTTAGATCTTTTTTTCTGGTCTTTAGAGTTATGCTAGTATCCTTAAAACTTGCATTGTGTCTTATTTGAAGGAGAAAGCTTAACTATTAATTTCAAAGCTTAATTAGATGTTCTCACATTTCATCCATGGTAGGCCCTGTGAAGCGCACACACTTGGTGTATCTTATATTTCCTCACGCTTTTAGAACTGGAAAATTATTGTGGGCATTTTCTAGAATCCATACCTTTCTTCGCTTGTCTCTTTCTTATGATGAAAGAACCTTCCTGGTTTGCAGGCAACAGTAACAACTCCTCAGCTTTGGCTCGATCAATGCCTTCATAGAGCCACCTGAAGATAAAAACACTGCAGGGGTCAGTTGCCTATGAAAAATATGTGTGAGTTAAGGGGGAAACTACTTTTTTGGTAGAGTTGAGGATCTCTTAGAACACAGAAACACACATACACCCCAATATTCTTTGATGTTACTTCAGAGAAAAACCACAATGCTTACCTGTGTGAGATTTTAGCTATATTGTTGCTAGGTACACAGCATTCTTTGCCAGTTGCTACTGACTTGACTTGACACCATTCACCCTCTCTGCAGGAGAAGAAATGCAACTTAAAGCCATGGCCTCAAGTAACTACTCCATGAATAAGTTACCATGTTTCCTAAAAATCTAGTCAAGGAGCAGACTTTTTCATCAGAAAAATGCTCCCCAATTATCCCTTGGGACTACATTAACACCCCAAAAATCCAGACTTTAAATATGAAGGATGAGGGTTAATTTAACCACCCAGATGTGTTAGGTTTACAATCTTCAGACTGACCAACCATATGGCAACTGGAATTTTTGGGAATTATCGTATTAATGCAAATGAGGATCAAGTTGAGAAAGGCTGAATTTAGCCCTTCTAACTACTCAGAGCAGACCTCAAATAATTTAGGCCAGCTCCATAAGGACTCCTAATTTATTTTTTATTGGTTATTTACATATTTTGTGTATGCTATTCTTAATTTTAGATATCAGTAACATTAAACAAATACAAAACAGTAAAAATGGAGAATCGGCAATTAATTTGGACAACTAATACAAAGTAGATATGAAAAAATAAGGTCTGACCATGGATGTTTTCAAAATTGGAATTTCCTTCAGTGGAAAATCCCTAACCCCTCCAGGATAGATCCCTCTTGATGACTACCATAATATTAACTGCACTGCTTGATGTTTTGTCCCTTGTCTGTTAATACTCACTCAGATAGCAAGTTCAGCTGTTCCCCCATCCTTAGTACTGGCTCTCTGTATCTAGAAGGAAAATCACTGACTGCAATAATCAGGGGGGAATTGGCAACTGCAGATTAAAAGAAAAAATAAACACCAACCAGGTTAATTGATTGTAATGCAATTGTAATCTCTCAATATTTGAAGTATTCTTGCAAAATGCTTTACATACTGTATGTCTTATTTTATCTCAAAGTTTCCTCTAGATTAGAATGTAGAAACTGATGTGTTGATAGAAGCTAATTCTCAACAATATTAAACAACACTAAATTGTTTCCCTTTCCTTTGTGGTCAACAGAACATTTCATTATAGCACTACGTAATTTGAATCCAGAATTCTATAAAGCCATATTTTTTATACAAATGTACTCAGATTAAGGAAGATTTTTCCCTTACTGCCCTCCCCCCCAGGCTGAAGCACTCAAGTGAGAATGCCAGGCAGCATTCTCTATAGCCAGGTGCTATCAGTGGAATTCCCTTGCTTCATCTTGTCTACTTCAACTTTTCAGTTTCAGGCTGCTTACCTGTTAGTTAAAACATTTTAAAACTAATCACTTGTTTTTTGCATCTATTTCACCACAACTGATGATGAATGCTCATCCTAATGGCTATAATTACAGGTTGGTAATTAATATTTTTCTACTTATCATTTAATTCTCTAAGAATGATACTAGGCTCTTTTGTTTTTAAAAGTCACTACCAATGCTACTGAATAAAACTTCAATCTTAAAAAGTCAATCCTGTCTTTTTATGTACACTGAGAGCATATGCACCAAATAATACTTGGCCAATAAAGAATTATATTCTATTAAAATTTTATGATTATGGTTCTTCAAATCAGTCTTCTGGTAACTACATGGACAGATCCATGAAGTTTTTCATGGCTAGCATAACTACATTCTTCCAGGATGTTTTTTTGACTCTCCAATCTAGGGTCACAGAAAATGACAGATATCCAGCTATCTTCTCTACCTAAGGGAGACCTAGTCCAGATTTTTTTCCCCTACTAAACTGAGGAACTTCCTGTGAGCTTGACACTATACCTCCGTGATGAAGCCAAAACCTACAATCTCTTAGTGTCCCACATTTAGTCTGTGATCTAACAGATTCTTCTCACATTTACTACCTCTAAGCCAGGTATCATCTGTCTCATAATCGTGCATCTAGTTTTTCCTAGCTAAGTGCACAATCTTCCATTTCTCACTATTGAACAGTGTTTTGTTGCACTCCATTTGACTCTTGAGCTTGTTTTTTTTTTTATTTTATTGTTAGCAATCTCCCCCCCGCCCCCACCAGTTTTGTGTCATCTGCAAATTTAAGAGCATCCCTCGTATTTCCTCTTTTATAAAGATGTTGAAGAGTCCTCAGGCCAGGACAGAACCCTGTGATACCTTCCTCCATGTGGATGTAGACCCATCAAGGAATCCAAATTGGCCAATTGCAAATCCATCTGGTAGTGGGATAATCTGTCCCACATTGTTCCTCACTGTCGCATGGTGGGGCAGACTAAATAGTTATAGTTGCTATGTTAATGCATGTTCAATCAAGGATTTAGAATTTCTCAACCAAAATTAATAAAAGCTGCTAGATAACTAGGATGGAAGTTCTAACTTCCATTTCCACTGGCACACAGAACTAGATCGTAGTACATGACATAAAATTTCACAAACAATATGTATGTATGTATATCTGTATATCATATCACTGTAACCTTTCGGGTAATAAATCACATAAATTGTTTTGTTATGTATGAAAATAAATCATCACATGCAAAAATTAGATGTCCAGAAGCCTATAAATGTTTCCCCCTATTTTTCTGCATGGAGGCTTTTTCTTTATGTCCCCTAAAATCAAAATGGCGAAGCACAGACTAAGGAGATAAAGATTAAATCCCTCCTTTGCTGTTGTAGAGAGCAACGTTGGTGTAGTGCTTAAGTCATTAGACTAGAAACTGGGCGACTATGAATTTAGTCTAGCATAGGCACACTGTTTTTGTGTATGTGTGTGTGTGTGTGTGTGTGTGTGTTTGTTTGTTTTTAAGACTCAGACTGATGGTAGCACTGCATAACCCCTACCTGGCAGATGTACACTATCGCTCTGGCTGTGCCTTGTGTTCACTTCTAGGCTTGTCTGGTTAGCAATCTGTTTCCTTTTACAGACCAAGCTTCCCATCACAATTTGTTCCTAACAGCAGTCTTCTAGTATACCACTCAGAGAAGCCTATCAACAAAAGGCAGAAAAGAAACATAAAAATTCACGTTGTTGTGCTTGAGGACTGTTGGGAAAATACAGAAGAAACCAAATGCTGTTAACAATTAATCAGCTGCCATTTTCTAGTTTCTTCTAAGGTAGATGTTTTATTAGTGTTGAAAGAGAAAGTATTAAATCATACCACAAATAAGAAGCAACAACTTCTGAAGTCAGGGGAAGGGAGAGGTAAGATGGCCAATTTTCCAGCATGGACTGATGAATATTGCTCAGGAATGCAGTATCTGTCTTACATTAGTAATGTAATAATAAAAAAAGTCCTGAATTTAGGGCATCATAATTAAGATGGCTTCCATATCAAAGCCTTTTTTTCTAAGAATTTGCCTTAAAAAAACCTCTTGCCCTGTAATCTGGAAGACATGAACTTAATACTGATACTAAAATGTTCATGTTATGGTAGTAAAAAAATGTTTTATCTGCTACTAGCATAATCCTATGAATAAGAAAAAGTTCAGAAACATCTCCAGTGTTTTCCTGTTGAGAGTTTGTTCAAAGTTGATGGCTCTTTCCTGAAAAAAAGTATGGAGCATCATGCTTTTCCTTCTTTATCCTACCTCTTGCTTCCATTGTACTACTGCTAGCAATCATCTTTACATTTTGCTACACAATAAGAAGCTATAATTATACCAGTCCATGAATTTTTGTACGGTTGTGCAGTTTTTAACTTTCCCCATTTTAAAAATATTCTAGTTAAGAGCATATAATCTCATATTTTTGTTTAACTGAAAATGGTTTGTACTCACCTGTCATTATACCATAGCCGGGTCTTCAGATAGTGATGCAGGAAATTTTTCAATGTCGAAGCTCTGGAAACTGGTGATAACCCCCAATTCTAACTAGAACACGATTCATACGGGTGCTCCGGAGAAACCCCAGCCTTTTTCTTCAGTGGAAGTTTCTCAGAATACAAATGACATTGAGTTCCCTGCAAACTATTTTTCTACTGGTTTGGATCTTTTGCTGCAGTCTTTCAGGCAACTCTTTTCATGCAGTATACCGGGGCAAATTAATATCGAAACAATAGTTATCTTGATCCTTCTTCATGTCAAGTGTACCCAAACATGAAACACAGCACATTGGTATAGCTTTTTATAGTTTGAGTACATGTTTTTAAGAAGTGTTAGATTCTAAGAACTCACAAATAGCTCAGTTTCCTTTGACGTAATGGAAAGGTGGTTGATGGCTGTTTCATTTTTCTCCACAGAAAACCACTGTGTGATAAATTATATCCCAAAGAGATTGCTATAATAAGTGTTCACATTCTCAACACAGTGCACAAAGGTAGAAAGTGCACTCCATACTATAGTCAGACTGTTTTTAAATTCTTATAAGGAATTAAAATGATAAAGTAAGCTTTGCAAAGTAAATCTCCAAAATAATCTTTATTTCTAAGAAGGCTGTTAGGACCACATAGCCACCCAGTTATAAAAACTTCTTGGTCAGTATTGTGTTTTGCAAATCTTCCCCTCGGAATACAAAAGGTGGAAGGGATAATAAGTTTTACAAGGGTAAAATCTGTGCTAAATGGATGGTTTGCAGCTCTACATGGTAGCTCTATCTACCATGGCAACTATTTTCACTGTTTACTCTCAATAATTTCAAAAGTGTCTTCAGATTCCAAAGAGTGTGGATTAGTGCACATTAGTGAATAACAAACTCTTACACAGGAGAAAAATGGAAGTTCTCTTGAAGGCAATAGACACATATTTTAGATTTAATTTATTCTTAAAGTAGACTTGAACTCATTGCACGTAAAGCATACTCGTTTCAATATCTGTCACCATCATGCCACCTTCCAACTGGCAGAGTAATGTTAAAATGTCACTGCAGGCTTTAGAGTTATTTAGTCACTGATGGTCACTTATGAAGTCGTACCTGTCTCAGTAGCCTAAAAGTAGCATTAATTATCATCATTTCTAGCTAAACTATAACCCTGTACATTTCTGTGTGTACAAACACAAACCACATCCCCAAGCTTCTGACAAAACCAGAGCAACAATGGTTGGAAAGAAAGGTGGAGCCAGAGATCAGTGACATTAACATATTTTTTGCTCAGTCGATTTTCTTGTATCTTGTACATTTTGCTAACATCTAAAGCCAGTTAAGCTTGCAATAGTCTCTTGCCTAATTATTTTCAGATAGGTTGTTTTCTCTGCAATGCTGTTTCAAAAAAAAAACACGGCTTCATAATTTTAACCAAATCATACCAAACCAAACTCTTTGAACGCACAGACTGCAAACACATTTTTAGAGCATATGGGATTCCAAATGAAGCACTTTGAACCATGAACAATTACAGTGGCTCAGACTGCCAACACCAGAGTTTTAAACCCCCGTCCCCTTGCAAACTAAACAAAAATTCCACTAAGGCCAAGTGGAGCTGTCTGACAGCATAATTAATCATAGGTAGAGAGAACTCACAAGTCATGTTTGGAACAATCTTGGCTTTTAATTTGCATATGGCATAATGAAAGGTAATGTAAGAGTAGGTGGGGGGGGGGGAAATCAGGAAAATATGTGCATACTGGATATAAACACAAAATTAGAAGTTGAGTCACAGATGGTAAAAAAATATATGCCGGAAGATTGTCTCCGATTACTTAAATCCTGTTATTGCATATATTATTTCTGTTGAAAGTGTTATTAAAGTGTTACATTTTATTTAAAATGCGCTTTAAATAAAAGAATGTTTATTTCCTAGGAATGAAAAATGTACATTTCCAATTTTGTTTGTTCTTGGCTGGTCTTCTTCAGTCTTCTCAGCTTTTTCTGAAGGGAAGAAATCTTTCCTTTAAGAAGATGTTGGATAGCCATTTGTCTGAAACGGTATAGGGTTTCCTGCCTAGGCAGGGGGTTGGACTAGAAGACCTCCAAGGTCCCTTCCAAATCTGCTATTGTATTGTATAAATAAATGCCTCTCTCTTCTCAGTTTTTTCATTTGCTGCCTCCTTTCCTTTTGCCTCTCCACATATCTTTTATTTTTAAATTCCTTCTTTATTTGACTTCCAAGCTTTGGCTCTTTTTTCACAAGACCTGTCGTGGCTGAACTTCCAGGCAGCCATTTTGCTTTCCCTCTTTCTTGATTCCTATCCAACATTTCTATTTGATTGGCAACTGGTCATCAGAAAAAGGAAGAAAGCCGCTCAATTTTTGTGCTATCTTTAAGCTCAGGCTAACTTATTTGTTCATTTTGGAATTCAACTGATTGTATATCAATATTATTCAATGGTCTATTAATGTATTCTTTAAAAGACAAGTCAAAAGGGAGGAAAAAAGGACACAGAGACAATCACCTTAACAATTAAAATTGATTATACTTTATTTAACTGGTTTGAATCCCCCCCCCAAAAAAAATCTTCCAATCCCTTCTTGTACCTGAAACAGAATTGAATATGACATTTCTTTGAAGATCTTGGCCTTATAAACAATACACAGCAGTAAAAAGTAGATAATCTGCCATAGTTTCATGAAAAATGCAGCTACATTTCTCTTCCCAATAGCAGCAATCTCACTGTCTAACAGATCATAGATTTTCTCTCTTCCAGCTAAAATTAGAAAACACAAAATTATTGAGAATTCAAGAAAAAAATATGATTTAGGAACTTCCTAATTCTCATGGTAAAATTTTCCCATATCTACCAGGAACAAATAATTAATGTTAATAGCATTGCATGGAATGAATGTGCATATGTGCGCATGCGTGCGTACACACACACACAGAGATACCCTATATAAACACATATGTAATATACAGGTCATAAGCAGAGCACACTTTTACAATATAAAGTACATCAAAGCATTCCTTTAACTAGTATTTAAATGAAACAATAGTTTTATGTAACTCAAGAACAACAAATATTTCAGTTTAGATATTTCCCTTTTGTATTTTTAGTAATGCATCTGCTTGAGAGAAAGGCTACAAAACTAGCTATGGGTTCAGAAATCCTGAGTTAATTCTATTCTATAGTCTTTTTAGAATTATATTCTGAAATCCCAGTGAAGCAGATTTTAAGTTATTTCCAAAACTGTCTGATTCTTAGTGCACTTAATTTTAATCTATTTCCATCAGAATATAAATTATACATATATTTGTGTGTGTGTGTGTATTTGTAGGAAAATACATATTATTTTCCTTCTAAGTTAACAGAAAAAAAATCTCTAATAGTCCATAGTAAAATATTTATTTAATGAAAATAGTGGAGGAAAATTTACATAAAGAACCAAATGATCTTTCATAGATATAGAATTAGCATTATAATTAATAAATGTTGAGCTAGTCTTTCAAATATGGAATGAATACGTTCCCATTTTATATATATTCATTCAAGATTAGTCTTCAGTGCCCACATACACTTAGATGGGAATGAAACCCATCAAACTCAATGAGGTTTACTTTAGGATCAATGTGAATAGCATTTCCTTCTTACTCACTCAACTATTCATAAACCAGAATTTAGAATTCAGTTGTTCAATATAGTTTATCTTATTTCAATAACTATAAATATATCTCTGAACTAGTACATTTAATTCCCTTTAGAAATTAAAGGCGCATAATTTATTGTCAAAGTTACTGATCACTTGAGAAAATTAAGATATTTTGCTTAACATCTTTTTTCAACTTTGGAATTTTTTTGTTTTGTTTTCAGCTTCAGGACCTAATTATGTATGTGTTGGGAATTATACTAAATATCATCTGGTTCTATTTCTAAATCTGCTATAATGTAACTTTACCTATTTTTATAGTGTGTAAAAATCCTTTACACACAGTTGACTAGTACACCCTCTTTGTTGGAAATTAAGCTGGCTAAATTTGAGAGCTGCCTCATTCTCCTTGCAACCTAATTGTCCTAGTGAGAGATGCTCCTGAATAAACCAACAGGAAAGAGCTTCCTTTCTCCTGCTCAGTTATGAAAGATAGAATTCTTGTACAACTCATACATTATGTTACGATCTCAAGAATTTGAACAGAAATAGATCCGCTCTTGGGAGTTCTGAATCAAAGGTGTCCTACAGAAATAGATCCGCTCTTGGGAGTTATGAATCAAAGGTGTCCTCTCTAATCAGAACTCCAAAGACACTGTTAGGACCACAGTCAAAAGCCTTAACGTCTTTCAGCAGAAGCACACTAGAAACCAATTCCATGTGAAAAAAACACAAAAATGATCATCTGAATTTCGAGAAGACAGGAGAGACACACTGTTCTCAGAGGATCAGATAGCACAGGAGGCCAGGGGAAATGAAGACATCTTCATCTTGCCTAGCACCAATTGAAGTTAGTAGTTAATGGATGCATACAGATGTATACAATTTCAGTGGCAAGCCCACTGTGGAAGCGCATTTACCACACTTATGACACACACAGTATTTCTTCATATTTAACTGAGAACAAGCTAAATTTGGATTTATACAGCATTAATTAGCAAGCCCTTGCGCCACCATGAAAATATTTATTTCCCTTGCATTGTTACAGAGCAAGGTTCTGCACATAGAATTAACTGGCTGAACCAAACTGCCCTTTTTAAGAAATCAAAACTACCACCACCTCCACACCGGGGAACATCTTTTAAAGAGCACCAAGTATTTCAAGCAGAAAAAAAGGAAGGTGTGATGGAGATGTGGAAGGAATGAAACCAAAATGGGCAGTTTCCTTGGGGGGAGGGGGAGAAAGGCAAAAGGAGAGACCCATCTTTCGATCTAGAGCCTGCCAAAAAATATCAGAGCTCAAAAATAACTTCTGTACCTCCAAGCAGCTATTGTTTGGTACATCTGTAGGCAGCTAAAAGTTTCTGTACAAACATAACTCAATATAATACCAAAGAGACAGGTGAAAGGTTAGCAGGCATAATGAGGGGGGGGGGGGGAAACCTGTTAATGCCACTTGTTGGATGGGTGCAGAAAAGAGAGACAAGGAATGGTCTGGATGCTTGCTTAACAGGATACTTCCATAGTCTGAGGACTGCCTTGGACTTCAGTAGTTTCAGGTATTCCCATGCTCACCTCCCTTAGGTTGTTGGCTTGAAACCTTGCTTGAGCGCTTTCTCCTGAACCTACACTTGAAGAGGACTGGGTCCGGGAACGGATCAACCTGGTCATGCTTGCAGACGGCACTGTAAGGAGACAGGCAAGTGAGTGCCAGAAATAATACATGTTTTTTAACTGCCTCAGGGGTCTTATAATGGAGGAGGCACAAAGAAAAGGAGAACTGCTGAAAAGCAAATCAGGCATCACTCTATTCACATTTCTTTAGTTTGTACTTGCTGTGGTCAAATACAGGAACATTTGTATATAGAAAACAGCTTCAACCCTTTCTCACCTTCAAATCTTGCCTGCAAATAAACTTTCCTATTCACTCCTCCCTCCCAATTGAGCTTAGTTTTCACTTTTACTTCTACTTGTAAAACTGCTTCCTTAGACATGCCTGCCAACTTCCTCTGTATTTTGCTGAAGAAACGTTAGGAACAGTGTTTCTCCTACATCTCATTCCACTCTCAGAAGTGAAAGGATTGTTCAAGCCTATGCTCAGGGAACACCCTGATACAGCCTACCAGCAGAAGCATTCTGTGCAAGGCAGTCAATGCCCTCTCCCCTCTATACATAAGGGTAGCCCATGAAGCTTTTTCAGAAAGTTGGAATTCGTATCTCGGATTCCTGCACCACCAGCTAGCTGCAAACCATGCAATAGTCAAACCAAGGCAAATTAAACCACTAAAAAGGATTCTAGCACAAATAGTGTACAATGAGATGGCCTAGAGTGCAAAAGATCACCAGGCCATGCTGTAAGCGGCATAATGCATAAGAAAAATGGAACTCAGCCAAACCAGACATATACTTGTAGATACCTGGCTCAGTGTTCAGGTGACTGAGCTGCATGTAAGGGACTGGAAGCAGAGATAAGAGAGGGAATGGGAAACAATGTTAGGGAAGTTATAACAAACTTGAGACAATGTAACCCTTGCCTGACCGTAAGCGTTTCCATATTTTGAATTCTATAGCTTTAAGGGTTGCTTAGTAAAAGAATAAAGAATATTTTACAATATGGTTTCAATTGTTTGACTTTTACTGAACCTGATATTACTTTCTACATTGGAAACAAGCTCATGCATATTACTTTACAGATAAACATTTTAAGAATACCCTACGCATCACCTCTGCCAATGAAGTTATTAGTAAGAAAAACTATGATAATCTTTTAAGCACAGGTTAAATATTTGTCTCTCCAAAACAGCCTTTAGGAAACTAGAAAGATCCAAATCTATTTAATAGGGAACAAATCACTAAAAGGTAGAACTGTCATTCAAGGACTGATGATTAATCCTTTTTTACAAATATTCTACTATGGTAGATAAAACTATCTTATAGTACAATAATGTGTATGAATTTACTATCACCAAAGTACAGAATAGGATCTATGATTGAGAAATAAATAATCTCAGTCACTTAGTAGGCTTTAAATTGAAATTAATGTAAAAACAATATATTATCACTTACTGTAACCCATTCCTTGAACAAAGTATTTGAAAGCTTCAGTTAGCTTCCCAGGCTGGGAAAGAAAAATAATAATCAAAAAGTATAAGCAAGTATTGCTATACACAATTTAAAGCATTGTTAATACATAATTAAATGAATATGATATATATTTGTGTGATGTATATATGTATGTATGTATGTGTGTATGTGTGTATGTATGTATGTATGTGATTTTCAGGATATTTTTCAGTCTAATTTTCTATTTTTTTCTTTTGTTGTTCAGTTTGCTATTTCATAATTAATTAATTTGTTAGATATTACAAATTCTTTTGGTTTTTTTTAAAAAAAAACTGCAATTAAAAATGGCAATAAATGATTAGTTGAATATCTTTTAGATGCATTAAGTATGACAATTCTTAGAATAAGAGTGTCAGGCCTGCAGGCGGTTCCTTTTAGGATCTTTGGCGTGCCACACTAATATTCTTTTCTACTATACTTTTCATTAGTGGGGAATTGGGAGCGGGAATAGTAAGGAGTAGAATGTTTTGTTGTCAAAATAAAATTCCTTTCTAGAAACCAAGGTCATCTTTTCTTCTCTACACCTCTAAGCCTGACCAGAACTGGATGGGTGGAACTGACAGTGTGGCAGTGGAAGATTGGACCATGTGATGGACTTGTGGGTGTGGGGCCAAGATCATGAACTTTCACCTGAGTGGGAAAACCCGGGAAGATTTCAGATTCAGGGTTTTCACAGATGTGTCAACATGTTTCTCTCAATAAATTTAAACTTTGAGGAATACTTTGCCTTGGACTCTGATTTAATTTTGGATGTTATTTGAAATGCTGACAAAGAGCTTACCTGAACAACTTGGGGCAATCCCCCACAATCTGCCATCTGGAAGAGAAAAATGAATGGTTACATTTTAAAAAAAGTTGAGCTATAAATCTATTAAGTGACTCCATCACAGTACTATGATGGAGCACAGAGAGGCAAAAACTTCTATTTCCAAGCACATAACATTTTAAAATGGTAGTTTTTCCATGTAAATACAAATCCCTGGTGTACTGAAAATGGGAGACAATGAAACATAACATTGGCAAAAAAAGGAAAAGACAAAATAGATATATGAAAGATGTAATAAATGCACTCACACCCACCCTTATACACACCTACTAGACTAGAATAAATAGCATATCAAGACTTATTCTTTTAAGGTGGAGATTTGTCAACCATGTTGGCTGAAAATTTATAAAATAAATACTGGAGGGCTATAAACATATAAAAATCCCTAGATATCTCTAGAGGAAGTTCTTGCCTTACAACAATTGGGATTGAAATGCTGGTTCCTAAGCAATATCGTAAAATGAGACAACATGTGACTACACCGCTTAGCAACTACCAGCAACCAGCCTGGCAATCCCTATTGCCATTGATATGTGAATTTTATCTCAGTTGTTAGCTGAGAACCCATCCCAATCCAAGCCACTCTGGGCTTAGTCCCACCCAGCCCCAAACTCCAGTAAGTTTTCCAATGCCCCCCACCCACCTATCTCTTCCATTAACTCTGCCATTTCAGCTGCCCAGCTGCAAGGTGGCTCCAGATCCATCATGCTCCTGGAAGCTGCAGGCAACCCCAGTCCAGTCCCAATTGCCCTTACTAAACTGCACGTTGAGACCCCTACTGCCAGGCGCTCTGCCGCCCAGGCTCACCTTTGCTGCCATTTTCTTGCTTCTGGCCCTTTGGCCTTTTTTCACAATGCAAAACCATTGTGAACAGTCCAGGAGTATTGCAAGAAGTGGTAGTTTTGGCATGTTCTAACACTGGGAGAGGCTGCTTTGTACCTTCCCCCCCCCCCCTTTTCATCATGCAAAGCCAGCTCATATGGCTCAACAGCCAGGCCAGACATGCTTTATCAGCAGCGGGGACAAGGAGGTGGCAGGAGTAACCTGGGGCACTACAGGACAGGGTGGTAGGGGACCAAAATGGCACAGATGTGGGGGGAAATAGATGAGTGGGAGAATTGCAGCACTCCTGTGGCTGTAACTATGAGCAGACTGCCAAGTACTCTAATTTTTATCACATGACCATGGGGTCACTGCAGTGGCTATAACGTTGGGCATGGGTGATAAGTCATTTTGTTCAGTGCCATAACTTCTAGTGTAATTTTAAAGAGTTGCTGAATGAATAGTTGTAAGAAACCATTCTTCCCACAATCCCCTCTGTAGGCTTCATATAAAGCCCACAAAGGGGATCACTTGTCATCAGAGAACTATTTAATTTTTGGTTACCTTCAGGAGTGTTGTATTTATTGGATCTAGGCGTGAATTGCATTCAACCTATGAAACACAAAATAATGCATGTACATAGTTATAGCTGACAAACTAACTATAATTCAAAGCCCTCCCTAAGAAGCCAATGCCTCAACCGCAACAATTTCTATATGTTAGAAGCAAACTAAAACTAAAATATTATAGTTACAGTCACTAATTTTAATATTACTGTCTTTCCTGTAATAAGGTTTTATTTCAGCATCTGACTGCTAGGACAAGCCTGATCCAATCACCCCTACGTCAGCAGCTAGAGTGGCAAATCGCAAGTGGGACTCAGATTTATGTTCAATACCCACCCAGTCCAAAAATTCATTGGGCATGTCTCTATTTCACAAAATAATTTTTACACAATTGTTATCAAGATTGCTATCAAGAGGGGGAAAAAAGCAAAATCCCATGTACTCTGCAACATGAAGAATCTAATGTGGATGAGAGTAAGAATCCTGAAACCATTAGGAGGTGAGAAATCCAATTCATATGGCCAACTCCTTTAGAGATGCTTTTGGCAGTTGCTTTGTCTATATATACAACATGGAGATTAAATCAACTCAGAGGAGTACAGGAAAGCATTTAGATCGTCTCCATTGAAATCACAAAGTGCTATATGGTTCTCAATGTGCAAATATTCTATTATTACCATTTTGAAAGGAAGATTCACACTTCTTTAGATACTTAGATTAATATATAACTGTTGAGATTCTCCCACTTAGGAACCTGTATCTTAAAATACAGAAAACTACCTATATTAAACCATTATAGTATACTATTAAAATGCAGATACATTATTTGCACGCTTCAAATAATTTTTTTAAGAAAATTTAGAAAATGTTACATCCTCTGGGAAAGGAAAATTTGAAAAAGTCTGGATGAAATTATAGCATCATAGAGCCAAGGAAATAACTAACTAATCATTAGGTTACTTACCACAGCCTCAACTGCAGGAGAGCTGTCTCCAACTACTAATAAGGCAGGGCACCTGTAAAGAAGACACAGTTTAGCATTATAATCTATACAATCATCGGCTGAGTTTTCTGCAGGTTCTAAAGCTTTGTCAAAATGCCGGAATTAACTGTGTGCTATCCCAATGCAAATTCCATGTGTGTGTGCAAAATGATTATGTACAAAATGTGGGAGATGTGCTGCAATGCTTTCATCATTTGTCACTCTATGATGTTTCCCATAGATATATCTGATTAGCATTAACACCATCTTCTGTTGTCAAAATCCTGCTTTTTAATCTTTTGATCATGCTCACATCTGGATCATGTTTTAATAGTACAATATTAAACCAGAACATATAGGGCATGGGTGTCAAACTCTATCGCGTCATGGGCTGGATCATGATGTATTGTGATGTTTTTTGCCTTTGCAGAGCTGGGGCGGGCGTGGCTTGCGTGTGATATATCCAGTCCGCCAATTTACAGGCCTGATACAGGGCATTAAAACATGTTCATACTTCATTCATTTCAATGGAGACAGAGCCTTATGAAATAAGTCTTCCCAGTCTTGCTCAGCATTTGTTTACAATACATAAACCAATATATATATTGGCCATAAAGTCCTCAAAACTTTGCCATGTATCAGAGCATCAATTCTAGCTGTCAAGATGTTGTTTATACAGATAGCTTGAAGGGTAGCAGCATTGGGTGTAGTGAAGGGACAACACAAGCCTCCATATACTCACACCATTGCACCACAGTCTGAATGTCTGACAACTTGGTGCCTGCTAAACATAAAGGCTGCTCTGAATAAAAGGCAGGTGTGGGGGTTGGGAAAAAATGCTGAGGAAGATGCCAGAAGACAACAAAGAGAAGTCTTCAGAGAAAACACCTGCTGGATGACCTCATCAGGCAAACAACACCCCCCCCCCCACACACACACTTCTATACTGCCTGGCTGGGATTCAACTCATTCCCCTGGCAGAGAAAAGAGCAGGTTCCTCATGTTGGAAAGCCTTACCCAGAGTAAAGGAAGGGGCCCTGCTTAAGGTATGAGTTGTTTATAGGCTCACAGCCAAAGCTGGAAAACTTACTCATACTGGTGTGAAAGCAGAACAAGTTTCAAACTGCTGCTGCACACGATCTATTTACTTTCCTAGTTAGATATTGTGTTTTTTTGAGCATTAGTCTGAGTTCTAAATTTGGACCGATGAGTCCCCCAAGAGTCTGCTTTGTTTCTCTGAATGTTCAAGGGACTAAGAATAATACACTTCAGTGGGTTCTTGGAGAGCTCAATGTTTCTGTTGCTTTCTAGTCAGTTCCCCACCTCTCTATTACAAGAGTCTCTGCCATGCTAAGGAAACACACCCAGCATGATGGATTCATACAGACATTTCTTTAGGGCAAAGAAAAACTCTGCAATACACCATTCAGCAGGCGGCTTATGAAAACTAAAAGCTCAACCCTCACAAGCAGTTCTTAAATATCCTGTATGTGCCTGCAATGCACACATATGTGTATGTAATATATGTAATTTTATATGCAATATATAAAATATATTAAAAAGCATGTAGTATGATATAATACAAATAGTAAAGAAAAGTTGAATACAAGATTATTTGCCTTGCTACTACATCTATCAAAAGCACTAGAAAAACTGAGGGAAGGGAGGTAACTTTTCCAACCAGAGGAAATATAAGCGGCGGGGGAGGGGGGGTTGTCGTTCACCCAGTTTCAAACAATATGGTTGAAAGACAGTCAAAAGTATCTTACTTGAGTGTTTTTGCTGGTTCTTCATTCGTACCCAAGATTGGTCTTTCAATATCCAGATCTCTACGACTTGAAGGCAAAGACAGACCTACTTAGTCTATTGTGGTTAAAGCGATATAGAAGTTTTATCATACATACATAAATAAGCAAGCAAGCAATTGGCAGTCTGGGAAGTACTGGCTAAAACAGAAATCTTGCGTCATTAGATTATGACTACTTATGTGGGCAAAAATATGAAACTATTGAAGTATTGAACCTTGGTAATAAAAATATGGTACTAAAACCATCTAATCTCAGTATTAGTTTTTTCAGTGCTGGTAGTTAAATAGATCTAGTCCCATTCTATGGTTCTGAATGTTCGAAGATTTTTTGTGATATGGGCTGATATAAGCTTATTACCCTTGTTACATATAACATGGGATACACAGAATCATATGTTCCAATAGTTTCTAATTTTTTTAAGCTAGTTCTTAAAAACCACTGGACCACATATGTTAAAATATCAGATATTTCAAATACACACACAACTTTTGAAATGAAGAGAAGCTATTGAGAGAAAAGATTAATGATCTCTCACATTACATCTGATTTGGAACTTGTGTCTAGCTTAATGAAGGGGCCCTTTCTAAACATTCTGTTTCTAAAGCAACACCCATGTGTTAGATAAAAAAACAAAAAAGTAGAAAAATATGAAGAGATCATTAGAAGAGGTTTGTTGTGGAGAAAAATCTACAACATTACTGATTATAATGGAAATAAAACTGGAGATATAAGACAAAAATAGAATACGATTCCCCCCCTAAACTATCTTGCATGCCCTTTACAGTTGACATTAAGGCTAAACATACTGATTTGTGAATGTGCTTTAACTGCTGCTTAAAGCATTATTTACACTTTAAAAACTGGAGTGGAGAAAATAAAAGAGTTTTCAGTGTGCATCCAAAATAGACACATTACCTGTTATAGGAGGTAACAAAGAGCTGAAGGTTTTCCTGATTGATATCTTGTCCGATGTGAAGTCTATATGTCTGAATTATCTCCAAATTAGCCTGCAGTTCTTCCTGAAGAATTGCAAATATTATAATTATTTGTCTGGTTAATTGTATGATGAAAAAAGCAAGGACACTTCAGCTATCTTGTAGAAACTAAGAAGGTAACATACACTGCCGACTACAAGCAGGTAAAAATCAGCTTGCATACCAGCAGAAGTTTTGAGATATAGTTTATACTTACTATCTACTATAGTCTTCTGTCATACTTATCTCAGGAATAAAACTTAAAATTATGAAAGCATAAGCGTTCCTATAAATAATTACAGTTCATTAATACATATATGGTTGATTATATACCGTATTTTTCAGAGTATAAGGTTCTCCGAAGTATAAGACGCACCTAGCTTTTGGGAAAGAAAACAAGGGGGAAAAATATGCTTTTGCCTCCCAGCAATTTGTCTCCTTGCAACAAACAGCAAACAGTACAGACAATATACACTGTTTGTAATGCTACATTTCAGTACAGATGCTGTTAAAATTGATGTGCTTTCTGGAAATATAATTATTCTCTGCTTTTAAAAGAAGATACAATAGCACTGGGCCTCTTCAGATCAAGCATTTATTTTAAAAAGCTTCTTCATTTTGTTAAGCTGCCTAGAACAATAATAAAGCAGTCTTTTTAAAGTAAGTCTAATAATTTTAATATTCTATAGGCATTTATAGTTATTGACTTACCTTCTTGCAGCAAATAGCCTGATTAGCACAAGGAAAAAAAATTTGCTTCTGCCTCCCAGCAATTTGCCTTGTGGAGCAAACAGCAAGTTTCAGTTTAAGCTTGCCAGGCTGCAGGGATTGCTATAGCCTATTGCAGCCTCCGCAAGCCCCATTTTCCCCGTTTGCTATAAGGAGGTAAATTGCTGGGAGGCAGAGGCCAAAGGGTGGAGGACTGTGGGTGGGCGGGTGGAGCTACATTCAGTGTATAAGACGCACCCAAATTTTCACCCAAATTTTTTGGAGGGAAAGGTACGTCTTATACTCTGAAAAATACAGTATATTGGTATTTTCAATATTAAAACTTGTAATTAACTTACATGGCCAAAATGATGAGCTAAAACAATATCCACAATGTTAGTTGTCCATCCAGAAAACTGAAAAAAGAAACCAAAATTACATATTGGTGTGGCTCAGCTTTATATTAACACGTCCTGTTTTCATATGCTTGTTTCATCCATCTGTAATTCTAGTATTAGAAATGCATGCAGATATTCTCTCTAAATCATGCACTGTTTGACCCAAGGCCAGGTTTATGGCTGAGAGTAACCCTATAATACAGCTACGTAAAACAGATCAAAATATATTTCAGTATGTCAAATCAATAAAGCCACTTCTGTATTCTTTCATCTTCCTTTGGGTTTAGAAAAGAAGAAAAAGTGATCGTCCAAAACAAATACTTATTCAGTGTTTTTTGAATTTCTAGTCATGTAGAACAATATTGTCACCACAAAACAGAGCGTTCCATCTTACCTTGGATGCTGCCCAATCCATCCAACCTTTTGCGCATGGATCAATATTAATTAGCACTAAGCCTTCTACCAAGTCTGGATGATTCAACTAAAAACAGAATGGAAAATATTAAAGTTTTACTTTTCTGACTGTTCGTGCTGCAATTCTAGTTTATTTTTATTATGACAGTATAATAAATATATCAAATAAATACATAAACATAGGAAATAAACACATTGTGGGAAGCATTATGTATGCCACCTTCAGTTGTACAAAATAATCCAATAATAAACTATGAGTAGAAAGGAATAAAACATAATTTTAAGGTGGCCACCAAAAGGCCATGATGTTGGAAAATGTAACTTAGAACACAATGAAATGCTGGCAAGTTTACAGTGGTTTTCAAAAGTAAATGCACTCTTTTTTATGAGATGATGATGCACTAATTGTTTTTTTTACAATTGCATAATAATCATAATCTTGAATTAACTGCCTCAAATTTAGTCAACATTTTACGGCATTCATACCTCTAAAGAATGAGACTGTTTTTGCTACTATTGGCAAAACATCCTGCTCACTAATACATGTATCACTCCTATGTCTGGATTCTACTTGGACATCTAGAGCCTAAACAGACTTAATTTGCTGAAACAAGAAATGAATATAAACAAATGCTATTTACCGCAAACTTGCTGAGAATATAGGCACCAGCTCCAACTCCTATTCCAATTACACTTTTTAGGCTGAAAAAAGTTGAAAATGAAGAGAGTATCCTTTTTATTAGCATGACCCATCACATTTATATAACCTTAATATCACACCCTTTATACAATTTTCCTTTGTATGGTTTATGGTAAGAAATAAGAAAGATTCTACAAAAGGCATTTGAATAAACTTTACAAAGATTGGCTTTGTTGCAATATGATAACAGTTGTTCTTTTTCCTCTGGACAAACATCAAAGAAAGGCTATTTAGCATCTGTGATTGTTAATAAAGGAAAGTCAGGTTTATTCTGCATACTTGCCTCAGGTGCATAAGAACAGCAGGAAGCATTTCAGCGAGTTCATCAGTACTAGGATACTGATATCTGAAATCAGAAAAGATAAAGTTGACATAAAAGGACTTTATTCCAAAGCTAACTCATCAAATATATGCCATTTTGCAAGGTTTCAACAGTTCCATAGTAATAGAATCTAGGACATGGTTAATTAGAGTATAGATTTGTAGTGATCAAAAGGCTTTCAACTCAGAGGCCTAAAGGTCTGACAAAAGACTTGTCCCATCAGTAACATATCTACATACATTTACCCATGGCATCATTCTTACTTGTATTTCTATAGCTTCCAAATCATTGTATTGTATCTCTTTACATATATCAAGCCAATACTGGAAATCTGGCTATTGATATAGCATAGCCTTTATTGTCATTGTACAAAATAAATACAATGAAGTTGGTTTTAGCCCACTGGTGCAATTCATGACAACAAATACAAACAACATAAATAGTATAAAGAATAATCCCAATGCAAGTAATTAAGGGAAAAGAAAAAGAAAGAAAAACTAGTCATACATTTCCGCGTGTCCGTGGAGTGATTGTGGTTGCGTTTAAGAGTCGACAGCCCAAGGATAGAAACTATTTTTATTCCCCTATCTATTTCAATTTTAAACATTGTGGATCAAAGGAATATTACTATACTTACCCAGAAGGGAAAGGAGGAGACCCTTCTTGTTGTCCAGGTGCATCAACATGGCATACAGCAAAGTGTTGTGTGATTTCCTGCATGTCTTCAAAATTGAAGAAAGTATTGAAGCAGGACTTATCTGTAGGACAAACCCACAAAATGACCATGAAACCACCACTCCAGTTCCTGATTCTTACTTTGGTAAATACAAGTTAAGACTGGTGATGTTCATGTTTGTTTTCTAGTTATGATAAATTAAAAGAACTGCTTCTGCATCAAACACTTCTATTCTGAAAATATGAATACAACATAGTCAGTGAGTCAACATATGAAAATACCATGAAAAAAAGGACTCACGGTTGAGGCCAATATCATGATAAGTTAGGATGACGGGTCGATTGCCTTTTGAAGTGCCCCGCATAGTGACATGGACAACTCCATAAGCTGTCTCTATATCATGCTCCTACAGAAAGAAATGTCAATTTTGAGATTAAAGAGGAATAATCTCTACACAGATAACATGACATAGTGCCCAGTAAATAGCTTAAAAACTGAGAATGCCAGGGAATCAAAAAGGATATTATTTAATCTGCAGGAAAAGCCTCCTGATAAAAAAATGATTCTATAAATCTTCTTTTTACAAAGTTCTCATCAAATAGCAACAGAGGGTCAACACCTGGAATGCTGTACCTCACTCTGTTGTTGCATCCTCAAACCCCCACAGCTTTAACCTTAAACTGGACCTCACCTGATTCCTAAGTGGTCCGTAAATGGGGCGTGCATAAGTGCTCCAGCGTGCCTTCCATCCCTGTCCTACTGTCCCCATTTATTTGTACTGATTTCTTTTGTTCATGCCCATGTTTATAATTATACCTGTTATCTTGTACACGTTTGAAAAACTAAATAAATAAATACATACATACATACATACATATTTTAAAATTTTAAATTTCAAGAACTGCTCTAAGAAAAGAATTTTATATAGAAGATGTTAAAACAGGAAAAGTGGCATTTTGAACTCTTTCAGTTTTCATTAAAGAAATGTGGAAAGAATAATGCATATGTGCTTGTGTAAGTGTGATATATACATCCAGCAGGATTCACAGTTTTTTTCTATATATTTAGTTCTTTCATGGAATCCATTTATTGAGAAGAGAAAGATACTAAGACATCTTATATCAGATACATAGGTTTTAAGTTTGGACTTTCATATAAGAGTTATATTTTTGTGAAAAAAATCAGCTATACAGTGAAGTTTTTATCTTGAACCCGAGTGTAACTAAAGTTCTGAAAAACTGAAACAGGGCAGTAACATATAGTCCAATTGAAATTCAAAATGCTTTTAAATGTTGTAGGGCTCACTCTAATACTAAACTGTGAAAAAAAGGAAAGAGAATAGCATTGCTGTAATGGGCATGCTTAGATACTTTCTTTAGAGTACGTTACAACTCTAACAGAAGTTACACACACACACACACACACACACACACACACACACACACACACACACATTTTGCTCAATCTCATTAACTCTGTTTTGTCCAATTTAGGTGCAGCCTATATTCTACAACCACAAGAAATCCTTCCATGTAATTCTTTATGGGGCCAATATATATAAATACTTTTGAAATATTTTCAAACTATAATACTTCCATATAACCAACACTTTCTGGCTACATATGATCACTAAATTTCTAAGTGCTTTGTGACTGAAGAGAGCAACGATCACACGGAAGTCCTTCTCACCTACAGCATTGTTAAGATTTGAAAAATCCTGACAAACAGGAGCAAGATTCCATCTAACATGTAGCTTTACTCTTTTACACGTGTTACTTAAATTCTGAATAAACAGTTGAAATGCAAAACTATGTTGTGAAGTAAAAAATCATAGTAAGCTAGTTGCTCAAATATAAACTAGCACAGTAAATTAAATTATTCAAACTCACAACAGAGCAAAACTATTAATAGAACAGCAACAGAGAACATGCAAGCAATGCTGGTTTCTATGGTATTCTATACAAATAGATGAAAGTGTAAATCTAAAATGATTACTTTGTGAAATGTAAGCCAATTATGCACACAATGACTCCAATAAATCAAGATGTGCCAAAGAGTAGAGTCCAATCAGGATTTTTGTCTGAACATATTCTAGCATGTGAATACAGAATATTGTTCAACCAACAGAATAACTTTGCTTAGGCTCCATATTTTTTACATGCATTTGTAGATTATTATTAGTCAACCCATGACAAATGGGTCATAATGTCAGAGATATTTCCTTATCTAATACTTGCACATCCCTGTGTGCCCTTCCTGGTCTTTGATGTACCCTACTCATATTCAACTAAGCGATAAACCAAATTAATTTTATGATTTTCTTTTTTTTAAAACCATACTACTTAGCAACAGAAGTAAATAAATGACTAAACCAGTGTCCTTTCTTCTAGCTAAATCATAGCACTATCATAATCTAAACTGGTAACAGATATTGTAATAAAAAAGAATGGTTCTTCCACGGTTATAAAAGGCAGTTTTTAAGCTTTTTAAATCTTATAAAATCAGACTCCAAATGTGACCTGAGGAGGTGATTTCAAAGATTCGGAGTTAGATAGGAAAAGAGTCCAAAATGTGATGTGGCCATATTGAGATGTGGGAAAACAGCCTTAACAGAAGTGTGTATTTGCATCTGAGAAATACTTTATACAACTGTAGCAATGTAACCCACATTTGGGTTCATAGCTGGGAAGATGGGAAACAATCTTCTCCAAACCAGACTTTTGTAGCTTAGTGGCAGACAAATATATATTTTTTCCAACATGCAGATAACCAAAAATGAGTATATGGGAAGCAATGGCCTATAGCAGTGATGGCGAACCTTTTTCTTATGGCGTGTCAAAATTGCATGTGCATGCCCACTCAATCCTCCCCGCTCAACTGCGCCTGCGCACGAGACCCCCCCTGCACATGTGCGCATGACACCCTACGCATGTGTACACAACCTGAAAACGTCCGGTTGGGCTGTTGGGACTGTTTTTCGCCCTCCCCAGGCTTCAGGAAAGCCTCTGCAGGCTGGGGAGGGTGAAAAATGCCCCCAATGGGCCAATCGTAAGTTTGGGAACAATCTGTTTCCAGCTTTCGGAGGGCCTCCGAGGGGCCAGGGGAGGCCGTTTTCGCCCTCTCCAGGCTTTAGGAAAGCCTCTAGAGCCTGGGTAGGGGGAAAAACATTCCCGAACATCCAGTTGGGCCATTGGGGCAGCTTTTCGTCCTCCCCAGCCTCCGGATGCTTTCCTGAAGCCTGGGGAAGGCAAAAACAACCTCCATTGGCCCTCCAGAAGGGTGAAAAATCAGTTGGCCGTTGCACACAGAGCTGGTGGCTAGCATGCCACCAAATATGGCTACGTGTGCCACCTGTGGCACACATGCTATAGGTTCGCCATCACGGGCCTACAGCTTTCTCAATTTCATCTCAAATATTTATCTTAAAAATAGAAAAGACTGACGAAGCAGAAACATTCCAGTATGAGTACTTACTTGACAGTCAAAGTCCTGGAAGTTTCGGGCTGAATTCTGTCAATATAAGAATGGCCATTGATCAACAAACCATAAACTTTGCTTTACACCTGCTTGAAAAACTTATTCCAACACAGGGGTGAAATTCAGCAGGTTCTCTCACAGGTTCTGGAGAACCGGTAGCGAAAATTTTGAGTAGTTCAGAGAACCGGTAAATACCACCTCTAGCTGGCCCCAGAGTGGGTGGGAATGGAGATTTTGCAGCATCCTTTCCCAGCCACGCCCACCAAGCCACGCCCGCAGAATCAGTAATAAAAATTTTTGAATTTCACCACTGTTCCAACACCTCAGTTACAACTAAAGTATAGTAGTGAGCCAAAGCTTCCTTTATTAAATTTCAATAAACAAGTGCACAATAGTAGAATTTCCTCCACTCCACCAGCCTTCTATCCTAGAAATCAATCTATTCCATATCATGATGGAAATGCTAGGATTTATAACATCAAAATGAATATTTTCAAGGATCAAATACTTCCAAATTTTAAGATAAAGTTCTTGGCCAGGTTTTTATATTCAACTGTATTTTGAAAGACATCAAATTATATAGGCTAAAAGTATGCATACATTACAACAGTGGGACTACTGCTGAATGATGCTTTGCATTTAAAATGTTTCCAATAATTATTATTGGAATGCCACCTTATAATGCAGTGGTCCCCAAACACTGATCCATGGATCAGTACTAGGCTCATTGGTAATGGGCCATGCAAGTGGCAAGTGAGCGTGTGAAAATCCATTTGCGCATGCGTGGGATTAAGTTGTGCGTGCAAAACCATGCCCTCTCTTTCGGCTGTTACACTATATTTCCCTACAGATTTTTTTTTAAAATCATTATTCACACACACAAAATTTATATACATGGATATACCCTTTGAAAGTGTAGTAATTTTAAATGTTTAGCTAAAGAAACTTCTTCATAAAGATAAAACAGTACTGTTTAAGTTAACCTAATTTGTTTACTTAAGTAACATTCCTTCTATGCTGTCTATACAGAGCAGTTAATCTAATAAACGGCATAAAATCAAAACAAAATAAAATCCCTTTATTTTGGGATATGTATGTATCTGAAACTGCATAATACAAAATAAAAATCAATATTTCATATAAATATATTCCAAGATCATTGCACAATATATTCTGTTTATGTTACCAATTAAAAGGTCATGAGAGACAGTTTGGTCTAGTAGTTAAGGCAATGGGCCAGAATGTGAGAGACTGTGTTCAAGAGCCCCTCTAGGCATAAAAAAATCAACAGGAGAACTTTGAGACAATCATTCTCTCGAAGTCAAACCCACCACACAAGGTTCTTTGTTGGGAAAACAGGAGGAGGAAGGTGTGTTGGATATGTTCACTGCCTTGAGATACTTGTAAAATAATAAAGATAAACTTTGTGGGCAATAAAGCCCTACAGCCTCCTGTCCACTGGAGTCCCCCCCCCCCCTTTAAAGATTTCACTAAAAATATTCCTGAACATTTTACAAATATTTTTATAGCAATTATTATGCCTTTGATGTTTTCAAGTAGACTTCAATCAACAAAAGCTTAACCATAATAGATCTGTTTGCTTTGAAATGCCACAAGACTATTTGAAATCAATATATATAGCATTCCAGTGAGCAACAGCAAAGATTAAGAGCTTGCTCCATGAAATCTGAAACCTAGAATTTGTTTCAGGGGATCAAGAAAGAAAGGCTTGGGAGAAGAATTGTCTTTCTACATTAAATATAGGAACTTTCAAGATTTTTCAATGGACCTTCTCAGTGAATTAAATTCTACATCCACAGGAGAAAACTGTAATATATATTCCTCCTACACATAGTTGGCATATAGTACAAAATTGTCATGCTCAAACATAACTTTCTTTACCTTATTATTTAAGAGAGGTTTAATTTCTGTTAACTGGACATCTTGCAATTCATCCATGTTTGCTGAAATTGATGAGATTCACTGTTGAACAGCAAAGTACTACTTCTAAAAGCAAAACAAACAAACAAACAAACAAACAAAAGGTTTACAATGCAGGAAATGATCCGAGATTAAAATAGAATATTTTAAACTATAGACTATGATTCTCAAACAGTTAGAGGTTATATTGAAGCATCTAGAAATAGTAATATTTTCCTCTTTTCACAAAGATGAATGTATGTCTGGTGAATCATAAACATAAGATGATATTTCTGGAGGAATATGCTAAAAATTTAAATCAGACAACTACTTAGATATTCCATGCCTCACATTTGCTGTAAGTTAGCATTACACAAAAATAGCAGAGTAATGCAGTTTAACTTTCTTAATATTCAAGGTTAAGTATTATGCGTTTAGTAACAGCTAAGGGAGATAAAAAGAGTAATTATATGAAACAGACAAAATGTTAAAAACCTATTATATTTATGTAATTACTTACCAAGCATATCTAAATTACATTAAATTAACCAAAATATCTTTACAAGCCCCAAGGCATACCACAACTTTTGAGCACACCTAATGTTTGGAAATTGAAAGTTGAAAAATTTGACACACCCTATAAAATTTTAAGTATTTTATTGCTGTGAAAATGTTTACAAGATGATCTGAGGTCAACAATTTTGCCTTGCTTAGTTTTTCCTCTATTTCATCTTTTAAACTAGTTCTAGTTTGTATAAATTTAGGATTACAGCAGGAACATAAAATAAAAGATCAGAAAGCATCTTCGATATATTTTAATAAAGTTAATTTATTATTGACAAATTAAATTCACATTATTTTTACAATTATTCTTCAGTTTTAAAACTACAAGGACCTTGTGACACATTGGAGCTTCTAGTTCTTTTTCTCTGGGTTAAGTGATGGTATTTGGCAAAAACAATCCCATGAATTCATTAATGAAAACGGGGCATTGGTTCTTACCTGATACGCCTCTTCTCTAGGCAGGTGGAGACAGCGGTCATGCATGGGTTAACTCAGTAACCAATAGAACTGAGTCTAGCAAAGTGATGTCATCACGTCGGGGGAGTATCCTCCCGCTTTTGTGATGAAGGAGATAAGTAGACTGCTGTGTATTAGTTGAATGCTTTCAATCCTCCCCCCCACAAAAAAAATCCCCCCTTAGCTCCATAATGCTCACTGTCACTAGGCCAGGAACCAAGGGTGGGGATGACTGCTGTCTCCACCTGCCTAGAGAAGGGGCGTATCAGGTAAGAACCAACGCCCCATTCTCCAATGTTGGTGGAGACAGCGGTCATGCATGGGACGTACCAGAGCTGGGCTTGTCCTCGGGTGAGATTGAGACTGGGCTAGGAGCTTGAAGAAGGGAGAACTTGCTGGAGGACTCGCCATCCGAATGCCGCATCCACCGATGCGTATCTGTCCATCTTATAATGGCGGATAAAAGAATTAGGGGTTGCCTTGCAGATCTCTTCCACAGTGGCCTGCCTTGTCCATGCTGCAGATGTAGCCGTGCTTTGTGTGGAATGCGCCGTGATGTTAGATGGAGGGGAGAGGTGATTTGCCACGTAAGCCCTGGTTATAGCCGATCGGATCCAGCACCCCACCAGAGATGGCGAAGCCTTTAGCCCCTTATTTGTGGGATGGAAAGAGATGAAGAGCGCCTCAGTGCGTCTGAAGACGGCCGTCTTGGCAATATAGATCTTAAGAGCCCTTCTGACGTGTAACTTGTGCCATTTGCGCTCGAGCCTATGAGAGGGATTAGGCGAAAGTTCAGTAGGGTGAGGTCCAGGGACCGATGAAAGGCCGAATTGATCTTTGGAACAAAGGTGGGATCAATCCGAAGGACCACATGGTCTGGGTGAAAGGTACACAGGTAGGAACGGATGGAAAGAGCTGCCAATTCTGAGACATGTCATGCCAACATGATAGCCACCAGGAAGATTGTCTTCAATGTGAGGTGATGCAGGGAGGCCGACCTGAGAGGCTCAAAGGGTGGTCCAGTGAGGGAGTCAAGAACCCTGGTAAGATCCCACGAGGGGAAGCGGTGGATGACAGAAAGGCAGTGGTTAGACACACCCTTAATGAAGCGTTGTACATGAGGGTGCAAGGAGAGAGGCTCATTTCGGTGAAGAGAGAGCACCAAGGACAGAGCCGAAACCTGCCTCCGCAATGTGTTAAGCATAAGCCCTTTGTTTAGTCCCTGTTGCAGGAACTCCAAAACTGGGAAACTGAAGCCTCCAGGGGAGAGACAACTTTAGGGATGCACCACATGCTGAAAGTCTGCCACGTTGATTCGTAGATTTTATTAGTGGCTGGGTGTCAGGAAGCCTGAATGGTTTGGATTACCGTCTCAGAAAGATTAGCCACCCTCAAGACCTCCCGCTCAGCCTCCATGCGGAGCCAAGATAGATTAGGGTGTTGGATGGAACCCTGATGAAGAAGGGGAAGACATCACTCTGGCCCCACTGAGAGGTTGATGAGGTCTGCGAACCACGGCCGGTACGGCCAATGGAGGGGGTGAGCAGAATGAGCTCAGCCTCCTCCTCTATTATTTTCCGAATGACCCTCTATATCAGGGGGAAGGGAGGGAAGACGTACAGGAGACCGTGGGGCCA